CTCCCCTGGCCTTAAAAGGAGCCCAAGCCCCATCCCCTTTTGACATGGCCCACTCCCACTGTACTAACAGCAGCAGGTGTGGCTCACACCCATTTTTCTTCCCCACCTTGCCTAGTCCCTGCACTAGGTTGGGCAGCCCCCTTGGGGGCACAGGAAGGAAGGCAGGAGGGGTCTAAGCCCCCTACTCGCCCTAAGCAGGTTCTAGTCCACCTTGCCCTCACCCTGGAGTCTACTGCAGTGATGGAGATGCAGAACCACCTTTATCCAGGGGAGGCCCAGGGGCCTGGGTTTCCTGTAACAGCCACTCGAGGTGGGCTGGAGCCACTCCTCATCCCCATCTGCTTCCACTCTTGGCCTCAGTTTCCCCTTCCCTTACATGGGGCACTAATAACAAGGAGCTAGCCTTGCCCACTCCCACCCTTCTGCTCCTCCCCACCCCCCAAGGTTCTGGTTTCATCTTTCCTCTGGTCACAAACTACCTCTGGACAGTTGTGTTGTTTTTTGTTCAATGTTTCATTCTTAGACATCTGTCATTGCTGCTGCTACCAGCGCCAAATGTTCATCCTCATTGCCTCCTGTTCTGCCCACATTCCCCTCCTCCAAGATGCTCTTAGAGGAAGGGGCCTGGGGCAAAGCAGGCTGGGTTACCGACTACCCCAGTCCCAGGGAAGGTGGGGCCCTGCCCCTAGGATGCTGCAGCAGAGTAAGGAGGGGGGCCTGTTTTGACCGGCAGGTGTAGGGGCCACCTTCTCCCCCTGTTCTGTCAGGGAGGAGGTAGCCATTATTTGTCCCAGCCTGGGGCCCCCTTCTGGTTTCCTATTTGCAGTTACTTGAATAAAAAAAATATCCTTTTCTGGACTGAGTCTTTTTCTGTGGTGGGTGCCTGGAATAGGGAAGGGTGGAAACCTAGTGGGTGGGGGTGGCTCTGGAGGTGCTCTGCCCAGCAATTCAGGCTGGGAGAAGATGGAGAAAAAGCACTAGCGTCAGCTTCTGGGAAGGTAACTTAAGCTCCTCTTGAAGAAATCAGCCATACCCCTAGGCACAAAACATTTTATTTACAAAATATATATACTGAATACTATACATCAGGCCCTGTAACCCTGGAAACAGCTCCAAAGCCAGGTCAGGGGTCGTTAGAGACAGTGCCCAAGGAAAGGGCAAAGCTTCCCTTCCAGCCACCCTTCCACCGCAGAAGGAAAAGTTCCTATCAGTGCCCTGGAGTGGCTGGCAGGCTCAGCCCACAAAGGACCAATGGCCTGGCGGGGAGTTAAGTGATAGCAGGGGCTGCTGACTGCTATATGCAGGGCTTAGGAAATGGGTGCTGCTGGGGATGGAGGAGGAGAGACCCAGTAACTAAGAGGGGGAGCTGAGAGGATGCAATTGGGGTGGGGGTGGGGGAAGAGAAGCAACAGGCTATAGGGCTCTGGACCCCATGGTCCTGAAGATCAGGGTTAAGGGGATCAGGTCATGTCTTGACATCCAGCAAGGGTATCCGCTTGTGCTGGTAGCCACTTTGCCAGCCATGGACCACCTGTGAGAGAGGAGACCATGCCACAGGTCTGGGCTCTGGCCTTGGGAGTCACAACCTTGGAGGAGGCACCTCACTAGCCTTGGCCCACATGCGGAGGGCTGAGAGCAGAAACAGGCTCAGGCTTCAGGGGTGAGTATGAACATCTCTGCTGATTGTCCCTGTCCCCAGAGTGCTCACCTTGGGGTCTCCCACGTCGGAGAGTAGCTCCTGCTCAGCCTCGTGGAGCTCCTCAGCAGGGTCGTAGCTATACATGGGGAGCAGGTGATGGCGAAGCCGGTCCACCCTGGGGTGCATGGGAGGGGGCTCAGGCCGGGGCCCATTCCCTTCTTCAAACACCTGATTGCCCTATCTCTACTCCCCCTGTTCAGGGGCACTTCCAGTCTGCCTTTTAGGGTACACTGCAGCTCTAAGAATATGAGTCTGGGCAGGAATACATAACAATGGAGTGTAGGGAATTTCAGGCTTGTATCAGAATGGCCAAGGGGCATCTTACTTGTATGCAGGGAACTCAGATCTTACAGGAAGAAATTTAAGCAGAGTGAGGGAGAGGTAGCACTGGGGTCGGGGACACTCACCGCTTTTTCTTCTGGACATACATTACCTGTAACAGAGACACAGGACTGTGGAGACACGCTGAGCCCAGGATGGCCCACAAGTGAGAGGGACCCACATCCACACCCTCCTCTCCCCTAACAGTAGGACAGCTGAGAGGCTGTGTGCAGGCAGGACCAGGCCCACCCAGCAAAATTGTGGGTGTGTATGTGGGGGCTCCTTACCACAGCCACCACCACCCCGACCAGGGTGATGAGGAAGAAAGGCCCCAACACATAGCCCACCATGGAGTCGCTGTTGGCCTGGGGGGCATTGGGCACTGTGGTGTTACTCATGACATCGGCAGCCGGAGGGCTGGGTAGTCAGCATGGGCAGTACTGCCTCGGGAGGGCGCCTCCACTGGGCTCCCTGGGGAGGAGGAAGGAGGTTGTCAATTTCACCCAGGGTGACATCCAGGCTATGAATCCCTCCCTAAGAGCTGGTAATGTATGAAAACTTAGGTCAGGCACTGGGATGAGGGATCTTCCAGGTCAAGGTGCTGAGTTTAACCCTCCAGCAACTCTCAGCAAATCCTGGGTGTAAAGGGCACCAAAAAGAGGCCCATACCCAGGGCCTGAGTCCTGTCTAGCTTCTATCCCCAAATCAGGGTGAAGTTCAGCTCAGGTGCTGGCGAAATATTTGCAAATATCAATTTCTGGGGAAAGGTTAGACGTAGGTTCCCAGCTCCTGCCCCAACCTCCTGGGGCACTGGGCTGCCTGCAGCTATCCAGTGGAGCAAAATGGGGGAGATTAGGTTAAAATATGAGGGTCCTGCACTGCAGCCCAGGGGTGAGGTAGGAGTATCTGAAGGGGCCCATCTAGTCCAGATCCAATTCAGGCTATAGGCCCTATGCCCTCTTTGTCTCTGGTGTCACTCCAGACATAAAACTTGGGCACCATCTCCCTCATTGGTCTCACGTGCCAGGATGGACACAAGTGGGCAGGGCTGGATTTCATCTGTGAGGTGATGTCACCTCCCTCTTGTCCCCACTTGGGGCTCCGCCCAGGTCCCTCCCCTCCTGGTCTGGGATGACAGGCAGAGGTGGAGATGGTCAGCTCTCATGACAGATCCAAGGAGACTGTCCACGGGTGGCTGCACATAGATGCCCCGAGGTCCTTGACCTCGGTTCGCCTGGGTTTCCATCAGAGGGCAAGGTATGAGCTACCTGTACCGGTGCCCGTAGGGGCTCCAGGCTTGCTCTGTAGCATGCACACCGTCCCATGGTCAAGGGGACATGCCGAGGTAGGGAGGGTGATAGGCGTTCCTAGGATGCAAATCAGCAATGGCGAGCGAGAGGTAGTTCCCACGACGCTGGGAGGTTCAGGCCAGGAGAGGGGGTTTTGGGGGGAGCGCAGAGGGGCCCGGGCATCATGGAATCCCGACACCCCGAGGCGTGGACCTGGGCCAGCGCTCTGCAGCCCATCCAACCCGGCCATGCCTTACCTCCCACTGCTGCAGCCCCGAACAGGAACGCCCTCGGTTGGCTCCCGGGCCCCGGAAGAGCCGGCAGGCGCGTGATCAAAGGACCCGGGGAAATAGGCGGGGCCACAGTATCAGGGTGCAACCAATCTGATGGCGGAAGGCGGATGGCCTAGAGACTTCTGGAGCAGCCAATCCAGAGGCTGGGGCGGGCGGAGAGAAGACGGAGATGACCTAGGCGGCAGGGTCCACGCTGCGACGGCAGGGGGCAGCCGAGGGCTGCGCAGCGAGGGGAGGAGAGCGCTCCGGGAGGGGAGGGGAGGGGCGCGGGCGGCTTCCTGGCGTTCCCCGGGCGGACCCCAGCTGAACGCCCGCGCTTGGGTGCTCACATTCCAGGGAGAGGCCTGCCGTCTGCCTCGCTTGCCTGTCTAGTTGGAGACCGCTCACGTCCTAACGTTTAGCCCAGGACGCACAAAGGTTCCATTAGTGTTTGCTGAGGCCTCCAGACCTCCTAGCAACGCATAGTGGCCCTCGGTGCTGGGCTCAGCGGGTAGAGTAGGCAGGCCTGGGGTAGCGCCTGTCCAGCCCTTGGACTTCGGGTCCACTCATCCAGCCACCCTCTCTGCGCCTCAATTTTAACGTCGGTAAAACAGGCTGCTATAAAGATTAAACACTGACATGGGTAGGGCCTAGCACATAGCATACCCTGAACGTTAAATTTCCTGTTAACCTCTTTCCGGTTTTCGGGGGCACAGACAGAGCAGTGGGTTAAGTCCCTCTGGGTCATAAGTAGGTAAGCTTAGGTCCAAGCTTTCATGGTCTGATAATTAAGATGTCACACACTTAGTGGAGAAATTTGAATAAGATTGCTGGATTTACCAGTATCAATATCCTAGTTGTGAATATTTTACTATAGTTTTACAAACGTTAGCATTGGGAGAAGCTAGGCAAAATGTACCAGAGATCTCTAGTTATTTATTACAACTGCAGGTGAATCTATAGTTACCTCAAATTGTTTGTGTGTAGTTTTGTATTACACCCTCTTACCCCTCACCAAAATCACATGTAATTGGGGAAACAGTAGATTGGCAGGTAATGGAAAACACCCAAGAAAAAAATGATTGTGGCAGGTGAATCAAGTTGAGGCCCACCTGGGTCCTCAAGTGCTACTGGAGATACAGGGGTGGTGTGGGTCGCCCTATTCTTCCCAGAGGCAACCAATGGCACAGACATGGTTGAGACTTGGTCTGGTCAGGCCTCAGTTACCTCAAGTCTTTACAGAGGTGGTTAGATGAGAGCAGGTCTGGTGCAGAGATGAGCCAGTTAGGAACCAGAGAGCAAGTGGAAACTCTGGCCCCTTGTCTTCAGACACCATCATCTGACTGTAGTGGGGAAATCAGAAAAAGGGAAAGGAATGAGAGAAAAGCTTGGGTCTGGAGGCTCCACGTAGACTTCCTGGTGTTCCCAGGCTTTTGAGTCTGGAGAGTAGGAACCACCTCTCCCAGGCTTCTACTAGAGCTAAGGGCAGAGGGAGGAGGCACCTCCTCAGGCAGGGCCTCCCTCACCTTGCAAGGAAGTAGGGATCAGGTAATTGGTTTTAAAGCCCAGGCCCTTCAGCTGCCCACCACACCAAAACTTTGCATCCTCAGGACTTCCAACCACATATCTTGAGGGTCTAGTGGTCCTATGAGCAGGCCTAGTGGTTGCATTGGCAGGGCCAGTGTGTGGAAAGGCACAGGGTCTCAGTGTCAGAGACTCAGCATGTTTTGATTTCCTCTACTCCTCAGACAGAATACCCTTCCAAGACAGGCAGGGCATATGGGATGACCTCAGTTTACAAATGAGTAAGCTGAAGCCCTGAGCAGTGTGATGACTTCCCAAGGCCCTTGGTGTGATTAGCATGGGTAGGGAAGAATGGGATGATGGGTGGGCCCCTCTTCTGGTGTGCTAGCTGCTGCTCTGGGGCTGCATTTGAGGCCTGTTTTGTTCCTTGATAAAATCAACTGTGGTAAATTAAATCTACGTACTATAAACCCTAAAGCAACTAATAATATAACATTGTTATAGCTGATAAGCCAATAAAAGAGATAAAATGGGATAAAAAAATTCTCAAGTAATTCAAAAGAAGGCAGAAAAAGAGAAAAAAAGAAACAAAGAACAGATGAGACAACTAGAAAACAAACAGGATGATAAACGGAAACCTAACTATATCAATAATCACATTAAATGTAAATAGTCTGAACAACCCAATTGAAAGGCGGAGATTGTCAGAATGGATAAAAAAGTAAGACCCAATTATATGCTGCCAAGAAATGTACTTTGAATATAGACTCTAATAGGGTAAAAGCAAAAAGAATGGGAAAGATACACCATGTTTCAAAACAAGGCTGTGAGCACTATAGTATCAGACACTTGATTTCAGAACAGAGATTATTACCAAGGATTAAAAAAAGATCAGTTCATAATGACAGAGGCTAATTAATTGAGGACATAACAATCCTAAATGTTCATATGTCCTAAATGTTCATATTCAAATATTAATTCAAAGAGGGCTTCAAAATATATTAAATAAAAACTGATAGAACTGAAAGAAAAAAACAGTTTTAGTCAGAGATTTCAATACTGCTCTCTCAATAGTTGATAAAACAAGCAGACAAATAATCAGCTAGGAAATAGTAGTCTAGAACAACACTATCAACCAACTTGACTTTTATAGAATACTGTAGATTGACATTCATAGGATATTCCACCTAACAGTAGTAAAATACATATTCTTAAGTGTACATAGAGCATTTATCAAGATAGATCATATTCTGGGCCATAAAACAAGCCTCAATAAATTAAAAAGGATTCAAGTCAAATGAAGTATGTTTTCTGATCACAGTGGAATTATATTAGAAAGCAGAAAGAAAAAAGGTCCTTGGAAAATCGCCAAATATTTAGAAAATGAATAACACACCTCTCTGGATCAAAGAATAATCAGGAATTAGTTTGAATTGAATGAAAATAAGTATGTAACATATTGGGATTTGTGGAATATTCTATTAGAGAAATTTATAGCACTAAATATCTATTTGCAAAAAAGAAAGATATGTCAATGACCTCAGCTTCCACCTGAAACCAAAGTATACAGAAGAAAATAACAAAAATCAATGCAGAAATCCATGAAATAGAAAGCAGAAAAATCAGTGAAACCAAAAGCTGCTTCTTGAGAACATCAACAAAACTTATAAACCTCTACCCAGAGTGATCAGAGGAAAAAGAGAAAATACAAATCACCAATATTAGGAATGAGAGAAGTAACATGCCAACAGAGTCTACAGATAATAAAAGAATAATAAGGGAGTATTAGGAACAGTAAATTCAACAACTTAGTTGAAATGGAGAATACATGGAAAGACACAAATTACCAAAGTAGGCTTAAGAAGAAATAGATAAAGGTATACCAATCTAGGTTGAATTGATGGTTGATACCATCTTCGCTTTAATAATATACATTAGTGCCTCCTATCCAATTCCATGCCCCCTCTACACTGTTATTGTTACAAATTCATCTTTATATATTGTGTACATGTTAACAGATTTATAATTACTGTTTTATGCATGTCTTTTTAATCATGTAAGAAACAAAAAAGAGGAGTTACATATCCCAAATATAATACTGTCTTTTATATTTAGCAGTGATCTTTTTCTTTATATGGCTTTGAGTTATCATCTAGTGTCTTTTGTTTCAGTCTGAAGGACTCCCTTTAGCATTTCTTGTAGGACTGTTCTAATAGTAGCAAATTCTGATAGTCTTTGTTTATCTGAGAATGTCTGAACTTCTTAATTTTGAAGGACAGTTTTTCTGGATATAGAATTATTGGTTGACAGGTGTTTTGTTTTCTTTTCTTTTCTGTCAGTTCTTTAAATATATCACCTACTGGTTCCAGGCCTCCATGGTTTATGATGATAAATCAGCTGTTAATCTTAGATGTTAACTGTAATCTTCAAGGTAACCACTGTGAAAACAAGTAGGAAATATATGGAAAAGGAAATGAAGATAAAAATAAAAATTGTACACTAGGGAAAAAAATCAAACACAAAAGAGGCAGTGTTGGAAGGATTGAGGAACAAAAAGATAGGACATACAGAAAAGAACACTCAACTGAGCCAGAAGAGCTGGCTACTTCCAGCATGGCCAGAGATCTGTATTCTTTGCTCAGAGTTCTAAACTAGAATACTGGTGAAAAGTCTCTTCTCACTATGCCTACTTCTCAATCTGTAAAATGAGAGGATTGGACTAGATGATCTCTAAAATCCTTCCAGCCCTACCATGCAATGATTCACCACTGTCGTCTTATTTTTATCCTCTTCACAGCTACCCAAGTGTCACAACTGCCCATATACCCGCAATTAATGTTCACTGAGTTCCTGATGGAATCTTTCACACGGACCTGACAGTGTCTTGGTACATCTTCAGTGCCCAACCTGTTAACTGAGCGATGGTGATATCACAAGGACATCTCTCCTTCTGCCTCCCCAGCAACCATTCAGATCAGGTGTTTGGGGACCAGATGCAAATTCAGCCTTCATCCACCACCTCCCTGCCCTCAGTTTCTGCTTGCTCTGGTCCAGCTTACACTCTAAAGGGACCAGGGAAGAATATTACTGAGTGGATAAGAGGGGAGGTTCTGGAGTCAGACCACTTAGGTTTGACTACAGTTCTTCCATTTGTTACCTATCTGACCTTGAATATATTGGCTTAACTTCTATATTTTCTTTTAAAAGTTTTATGACTTATCTTACACATGGAGAATTTATTTCCATTGTAGGATGTGAGGTAGGAATCTAGTTTTATTTATTTATTTTTTCATTTAGCTAGCCAATTGTTCCAACACCACACATTGAAGAACCAAACCTTTCCCCACCCAGGTGCGTACTTTCTCTGGCTCTTACCACATTCCCACATAAGCATAGGTCTGTTTCTTTGGTCCCCTGTTCTATTCAGTTTCCTAATTCATTTCTCTCTAGCTATTCTCTTTTATCACATTGTTTCAGTTATTGTATCTTCATATTAAGTCTTGATACCCATGGAATACAAGCCTTCCCTTGTAGTCCCGTGTTTTTCCTTGTAGTTTTTCAAAACTGTCTTAGACAACCTTGGCATTGTACCCTATGATTTTTAG